AAGCAGAGAAAAATACCTTCACGTCAAAAGGCAATGAGCACTGCAGAGAACATGAATGGAAACGAGAGTACCGTTGCCAGGAACTTCTGAAGGGAACGGTTCCCTTTGATCACATGATTTCTGAGGAGACGCTCTGTATGTAGGCACCTGTCACGACGAAGATGTCAGTGACCTATTAGGCACAGTCGCAGATGTTGCAATCCGGAGTGTATTTTTTCAGCAGGAATGAGCAAGAGATCTTAACTTACCACTCAGAATGAAAAGCAGCAGACAGAATGAATGTCAAGTTGAACAAGGCCAGGCATCTTCTCTTTTTCTTCATCTTGAAATGGTCAGTTCTGATGGAAATGGCAAAGCAGAGTTGTGGCCCAGATGAAATGAATTCATTGTATTCAAATGTGGTCATTTCTATTAAGGGATCTTTGACAAATGTGTTTGAAGGCAATAATTATGAGAAAAAGAGAACTTTTTTTTAATGTTTGTTCCTCACTGCTTTTAACTGTTGAACAGCCTGGTTCCTTATCAAAAAAAAAAAAATAGATCTCATGACAAAATCTGTATCATAATCTATGCCACAATTACAAACAAGGATGAGCCAAGATAATACTTTGAATTATGAAAAAGCAGAGATGGCTTATCAAACTGCTTGCTTTTTTTTTTTTTTTTTTTTTAGAATCTAGACCTCTGTTTCAATGGCAGAATGGGAGAGAGTTTAAGGGCAAACGTTGTCTGTATCTAGTATCCATGTATTTGAACATCAGTTTTAGGATTATTCTGTTTGTCTCTTAGGAATGCACCTTTTTTTTCATTCAAAACACATAGATCACAGCATACGTGTGTGTATATATATATATATGCATGTATTCCACCTATTAACAAGCATGTAGTATCAGTATAATTAGCCAGAGTACATATTGTTTTGGGTTATACAAGTATATAGGGTCTTTCAAAAAAATCTTGGAAAATTGAAGTAAAGCTAAGTTTATCTTGGTGGTAAAAGTATTTTAGATCAGCTCAGTTTTTTCATCATAGGTATTTTCTAAAAACCATTTGAAGACCTCTTTTAACTACACAAGCTAAAAGTTTCCCAATGTCTTAATTTTAATTCTCTTTCTTATATACTTACTTACAGTGCTTTTTCTTCTGTATTTCATCAAAATTTCAAGATAACAGTATTAGCTGGATTTCCTGGTGCACATGGCTGTACCATTTGGTTTCATCACCTGACTACCTACGTGTTCCATCCTTGTTCATGTTCAGAGCTGCTTACACTTAATTATTGTCTTGCCTAAGACCTCATTGAGGGCTTCCTGCAACTTTTGCCTTTAGTAAGAGATATTCTTTCCTCTCATCCATGCAGACTGAAAAGACGGCTATAAATTAAATCAATGAAGCAGCTAGATACATTCTACCCTTTCACGAGCTCAAGACTATTTTCCATTTCTCCTCTTCATCTTATGTTTTTGTCCCATTGTATGAGTCTTAATGGCACACGGCCAATCCCCTAATACAGAATTTTTTCCTGAGCCACTAGAACTATATAAAATTCACTCCTTTTCCACAATGAAGACAGCAAAATAGTGTGGTTCTACAAAAATGAATGAGGAGAAAGAAGTCAGTTCTTTGATTTCCATCTCTTTTAACTGTGATATTAGAAAGTTTCTTACATATTGAGTCTATTTCTCTCTGTTACACTCTTTCTAGTAAACATTGTAAGTATATATTGTGTAAACATGCTTGAGGGTAAACAAAATATACATACACTGGCTTAATTGCAATATATATTGGCTTCAATGAAAACCTTCAAAATTATACATTTAAAAATTATGGGCTTGTCTTATTGTAAAGTGGCCTATTTTTCTTTCATATTTGTTCATGCTAATAGAGGAGACGTAAGTTATAAATAATGCAAATATCACTTACAGCTGACTTATTTATATGATGTATATTTTTCATCACATTTAGCATCTTAATTGTTTGCTCTATTTATTACCCAAATGAACTAACATCATTATATTTAACAAATGATGATTGATGGAAATGGCTAGAACCAACCTATACAGTGAAAAGTCCAATTCAGACTTAGACTTTTTAAAGAAATAAGTTGTATTTGTTTTTCAAAAATAATAATCATTTGAAATGGAAATTTACAGAGAGAGAGAGACAAGAGAGAAAGACATGTCGTTGGTCCAGTGGTTTACTTCCAAAATGAGCCCAAAGCACAGGGTTGGGTCAGGCTGCAACCAGGAGCCAGAAACTTGATTTAGCTTCCCTATGAAGACGATAGGGCTCAAGTACCGGGACCATCTTTTCTGCTTTGCCAGGCACATTAGGGGAGCTGAACGAGAAGTGAACCAGCCAGTGCTTCAGCTGCTGCTGGCTTTAATCCCTGCACCATAACACAAGCCCCTAGATTAGACTCTTGCAATGGAAGGTTTGCATATGAATGGTTGAATGATATTTACCAGTAGTCAGTGGTGTTGTGTTTTTAGGAAGATTTATTGTTTTTAAGGTTTATTTATTTTTATTAGAAAGTCAGATATACATAGTGGAGGAGAGATAGAGAACAAGATCTTCCGTCCAATGATTCACTCCCCAAGCGGCCACAATGACTGGAGCTGAGCGGATCTGAAGTCAGGAGCCTGGCGCTGTGGCCAAGTGCCTGAAGTCCTCACCCTGAACGCACCTGGATCCTATATGGGCACCGGTTCATGTCCTGGCTGTCCCTCTTCCCATCTGGCTCCCTGCTTGTGGCCTGGGCGAACAGTCAAGGACGGCCCCAAGCCTTGGGACCCTGCACCCTCATGGGAGACCCAGAAGAAGCTCCTGCCTCCTGGCTTTGGATTGGCTTAGCTCCGGCCATTGTGGCCACTTGGGAAGTGAATTATCCATTGGAAGATCTTTTCTGCCTCTCCTCCTTTCTGTGTATCAGACTTTCCAATTAAAATAAATAAATCTTTAAAAGGATCTTTCTTACTTTCTTTAAAATATATTGAAAATTTTAAAGGGATTCTTTAAATAAATGTGTAGCAGAAAATTTACTCATTTCAAAAGCAATGTGAAGTGAAGATACTTAAGTGTTTGAGCGTATTCTTTTGACTTCACACATTAAAAACCCATATAACCATAATTTTCATATGTTACACTAGTACCTCTGTATAAGTATGCACAAAATCTCAAGAAGAGATTAGGCATATAATTTTGTGAACATTAAAGTATTGTATGACAGTGTGGGATCAAGCTAAAGACATTTGTTTTATCCAAGTCATTTCGGTATGATGCTATAAACTTTTTTTTAATCCCAAAATTGTCATGGCTTCTTATAAAATGGTAATGATAATAAAAATATCCATTTTAATTGATTCTTTTCATTGTTTAATAAAATTACTTTGATTGCAGAAGAATTTGAATTGTGTTTTCATTACCCACTTCTGAACAATTTACTCTTAGATCCAGACAGTGTTGAGCTAATGAGTTTGAACTGATATTGAATCTTTACTGTCTACATGAAGTGAACAAAAAAAAATCATGGCAGTAACTAAGTATTGTTTGTTAAATGCTGTGGTATTGAGATTTTACAAAGAGGCTTTTAGTAGAACTAAAACATACAATTTGAATTATTACCAACTTTATTGTTTCAATATGTATATTATGAATATATAACCTTTTTAAAAAATGAAGAGCACATAAGCTTATATTCAAAAGCTAAATAATTTAGACATATATAAATTGAAATGATTTATAAAAGTTTTCAATATTACCTGTTAAGATGTTTAAAGATTTAGTTACATCTAAAAGAGTGATGTGCATATTGAAACACAAGCCCTCAAATATATGATTTTGATGTTGGTACTGATATTGTGAAAATCAAAAATCTTACATTTATATTTATGGGACTACAAATGATATAGTCACAAACTTCTAATATTTTACTTTGACATTATTTTTGTAAAGTGTTTATTTTGTGTGTCTGTTCTCGGTACATATTCTAACCAAGTTGGATAGTTAATGAATCCACTTTTGCATTTTGGTATGGAATTAAGTACTCCAAATGGTAACTAAAGTAATTTTTACTATAAAGATAATTTTACAGTTTTTAAGTATCAGTGTAGCTCAGTCCCAAGTGATAATTAATTGCTTTGTTTAGTAATAGAGTCTTGTTAATGTGAAGTACTAGACATGCAGTATTAGTGTAGCCACTGTAATATTTTACATGCAACAGATATATTATTTTTCAAAGTGTATAGAATCTAGTTAAAAAAAAAAAGAAAGAAAGAAAGTAAAAGAAAACCACTAGGTGAAACTTGCTTTTGAAAATCCCTTAAGGAATCAATTGCCAGGATTCTGAAAATGATACCTTTTCAGGAAGATCTCATGCAAGTTAGTAATTGGAAGATTTGGAATAACATTGTGTATCAAAACACTTTAAGTTCAGTTGCCACAGACCCAGTGATGTTGTAACCAGATTCTGGTGTCCACCTTGCCTACCAGGGGCTGTCAGTCTTCCATTGACTCTTCCCCTCACCCATCTTCAGTAGAGCCACCTGTGACTAACTGGTTTGATGACACTTTTTAGCACTAGAAATGGTAGTTTTCAACAGGATTTCTGCAATTATAATACAGGAAAGTAGTAGATATTGTGAGATACCAAGTTGTGGTAAGTTTATAAAAATCCCCTAGTGTTTTAAATAAGATCTTTAGACTGATCAGAGGAATAACATAGCAAATATTGGCCCATTTGTAAAGCACGTGAAGAATCCTACTATGGCAGACAATGACACTACACTGATTAACTATGGGTCTACTATTCCTGAGTGCTGGCTGAGTACCACTGCGTACAAAGAAGAGAACTATTTTTTGTTCTGACTGCCATGATTTGGACTTTTTTTAATGCTTCACTGTTAACTGATTTATGTCCTTAATGCCTTTAAGAAGAAAGAAATGCTTTCTAATTGTATTTACAGCTGAGCTTTGATGGTGTCTTGTGCGTCTTCTTACAGGACTGGAACTTCCTTTCATGATGATGCCCCACCCTCTCATCCCTGTCAGCCTACCTCCAGCGTCGGTCACCATGGCGATGAGCCAGATGAACCACCTCAGCACTATTGCAAACATGGCGGCGGCAGCACAAGTGCAGAGTCCCCCATCCAGAGTGGAGACATCTGTTATTAAGGTAACAGCTTCCTTATGAACCTGTTTTTGGCATCTTAATTCTAAATTACTCTTTTAAATACAGTTTTGTTCCTACTATGCTGACTCTAGAAGCTGAATGAACATGAAGAAGTGATGTGAAAAATCACTCGCGATAAGTAAACCCTGGAGCTGTAGTATTCAACTAGCACAGAATTCGTTTAAGTTTTCTACCATGATTATTCAGAGAAAGAACGAGAGAAGGCATTTTGCATGACATAGTTCTGGCTTTGTATCTTTTTACGTGTGTGGTTCTTTGTTTATTGTTTGGGTTATAAAGAGCCTTTAGATGAAAATTGGAAAATTAAGAAGTTTAAATTCTCCTACCTGCTGAGTCACCTTTACCATTTTTTTTTTTACTGTTGTTATTCTATTCAGCATCTAAAAGTAGAAAATAACTGTGACTTTAAAAACTCAGGGAAATAACAATATTTTAAAATGTTAAGTTACAAAATCACTGGACTTGGAAGCCAAGCTAGTGTTGCATAAACTTTGCCTGTTGAGTATGTATACAGTTCTCTTCTCTTCTACTAGCATGGGGATTGCACATTTTTAAAAAGCTGATGGAAAGTGTGTAGTATCAAACAAAAACAAAAAACAAAAAGAAATCAAAAACCTAAGCATGGGGGAGGGTGATTGGCAATGTGGTTAATGGGGTTTTCAGTGGAAACTATTTCATGTGATTTACATGGATTTAGAAAAACAAGTGTGAGAAGAAGATACTATAACATCACAGTTACTAAGGCAGCAATACGTCAGTATATTGAAAAGTATCACACACGGCTGAATCCATACACTCATAGTAACAACAAAAAGATTCTGTTCACTTTTGGAGAGTTTGATGGGATTGATTGGTTTCAGAAAAACTGGAGTTTTAAAATAAAGTATAAATAAGTGAACGAGATAAATTTTTCCTTTCATTTCTGTGCCGTTTGTATCTCAGATGTATAATTTGTGAGTGAAAATTCATAGTCATTGAAACATTTTAATCCAAAAAATGAGTAAGGAATGGTAATATGATCACATTGCAAGTCCTTGTACCCTGATTGGTCACGTCCATGGTCATCAGTGTTGGCTAGCACGGTAAAAGTTGACCAAGAGACATTATGTATTCCTGATGAAAGTATGCAACACATCCATGAAATAATCCTTTAAAAAAAACCAAACATATTTGTTTTAAAAAGCAGATGGTTACAGAAAATGTAGAGATTTTGATAGATGATAGATAGATAGATAGATAGATAGATATTTGATAAAATCTTCAGTCTCTGGTTCATTCCCCAACACATGGCCCAGGCTGAGCCAAGCCAAAGCCAGGAGACTGAAACCACCCCACAGCCTCGCATGTGTCTGGTAGGGGACCAAGTACTTGGGCCATCATTGCTGTTTTCCCATCCTCAGTTTAGGATTTTGAGCAATGGACTTAAGAGTATCCTCATTGTCTTTATTAATTTTTTGAATACAGAATCCTAATACTGTTATAGTACTCTTTGCATAGCTTTTTAAAGTAAAGGAATTTGAATGTGGTACATTAGAGTGTTAACAATTCCACACTTCACACACAACATTTGCAAACTTATAATGCGTGCTTCAGGGGGAAAGAAGTTTTTTTCAGTATTGTTTGCTTACACAAAGTCAGAATCCAGGATCTGCCTGCAGCAGCAGCTGTTCATTAAATCCCCATCAAATGTGTGGAGTTAAGTCTAGGTTGTTCCTAAGTCAGGAGGGTTGCATACAGAAATTTTGTTAATTGAAATCTGTATCACGTTAACTTATATCATAAACACAAGTTATTTTATTTATGTTATAACATTAACAATTATCTCTACTTGAAACCATACTCAGCTATGGATTCTAAATGAAAACAGGGGAAAGTGAGGGGTTAAAAAGAGGGTGAAATGAATGAAGTTTAAGTCAAATGATCCTTTGGAGGAGTGGGCTGTGAGCATGTATACTCACTGCAAGAAAATATTTTAAATTGACTTATAATGCTTTTTGTGATGGATGGGAGATGACTGGGTTAATATTACTTTAAGTTGTTTAACAAGATATGCTAAGCATGTTATATTTTACACTTTTAAAAACTTTTTTTTTAAATTTTTTTTTTTGATTCTGCATTATCCCCTAGACAATTATTTCTTGTTCTACTTGGAGGCACTAAAAGAGCTTTTCCTTTATTGTTATTCTGTTGTGGTTAGTTTATTCGCATGACCTTTTTTTTTTCCTGTGAAAGAATCCACCTCTTAAATTTTCATTTATTATAGTGGTGAGTTTTATAAAGATGGAACATTGCAAAAGATTGTGTCGTATTGATTGCTGGACTTGATGCAGGACTGTGAAGCAGTGTGTTGAAGTATTAAATTAAATATTCCTCATCCCTGTCATACTTCAGGCCCATCTTGGAGGTTAAAGGGTATTACACAAATGAAATGATAAATTCAGTTTATATAGTTTCCCTATAGACGTTGAACTACTTCTTTCTTCTTATGGCTGAATAGAACTCATTACCTACTTTGTTTTAGCAATAATTACGAGATTCTCCTCTAAGCAATTCTTTACTGTCTACATTATTCTCTATCTTATGGAATACTCTGGAAAGGCAAGCATATAAATCCGATAAAAGAATTAAGCCATGAAAATAAATTAATTTATTGTGCAACAATGTATTCAATTCTTACTTGCTCAATGGGTTTTACTTTAATGAAATTCTTCAAAGAACAATACATCATATTCCAACGATTGAAATTATACATTAAGTGAAATGATTGAATATGTTATGTCTCAATTTATAGAAAGTTTCAGTTGAATAATTAAGCTTTGGAATTATAAAAATTTGCATAAATTAATGTTTTCTTCAAATAGATGTATTAAGTATTGTCCTCTTCTTTCTGTTCAAAAATGCAAAATACAATAAAGGTAAAAGCTAAAGATAAGTTAATACTGTCATTTTACTGATACTTCCCAAGCCTCGTTACTCTTTAAATAATTTCACATTAATATTTTTCTCTAATTGATTTAAAAAATGTTTATTGGGGAGGTGCAGGGACAGCTGAGTGAGAGAGACAGGGAGACAAAGACACACAGCTTCTGATGTGCTAGTCCATGGTCGAAGTGTAATGACCACCATGTGTGGACCTCACTGAAAGCACCTGGAAACTCAGCCCCGTATCCAGTGTGGGGAGCTGTGATCCAAGCATTTGAGCCATTACCTCTCCTGAGCTGTGCCTTAGGAAAGTGTAGGAAGCTCAAATGGAGAACAATCCTGGTTCCTACTGACTGTGGGACTGTGGTGTGGTGTGGACAGCCCAAGGTCCCCTCTGAACTACTATACAGAATTCCTGCCCTGCTAGATGATTTTAGAGAAATTGATTTATGTCGAGATTACATTTTATCTCTTTTCATCCAAATATATTATATTGTAAGATTATTAACATACATATTAAGAAAAAAAATTGTAAAAGCTCTAAATATTCTAAAAAGATTTAAGCATTGGTTTGCATGCCCTTTTGAAAAAAAAACACCTTTAGAAAATTTAATTTACATTTAAGCATGTTGTAATGCTCTTTCTCAAATACTATGTAGTTTTTAAATTCATGTGTTTATAATAGAGGTATTAGGAATTACTCTTAAGGTTTAGACAACTCATGTGACTATCGGAATTTCAGAAATGGAGCTTAGACTCCTTTCTGGTCATGTATGCAGATAACTACGTTATCATTTATAAAGACACTTAAGCATAGTTTTAAAAAGCTTTTATAAAATCAAAGAAGCAAGCAAGCAAAAAAACAAACATCCAACATTGTAATGCAATTGTTTGATTCAAAGCCTGTGACATCAACTTCCCATGTAAGCAGGTTCTATTCTGCTGGCTCCATTTCCTATTTAGCTCCCTGCTAATGCACCTGGGAAACAGCATTAGATATCTCAAGTTCTTGAGCCTCTGGCACCTATAGGGTTGCCCTAGATGGAATTCTAGGATCCTGGCTTCCGTCTCAGCTTCTTCTGGCCATTGCAGCCATTTGTAGAGAGAACCAGATCAAAACTTATCTTCCTCCCCGATCTCCATCTTTTTCTCTGTTGTTGCCTTTCAGTCAAGTCTTTAAAAAAGTTCTGTTTTACAGCTTTATAAATCTATACCCCATAATAAATACGTTAATATTCTGGGGGTTCTTATTATCCTTTTAAAAATCTCGTGTACACATAAGTAAATCAATCCAAAATTTCTTCACATTAAATCTGATGCCATTAGAAGTTTAACACGTACCATAACTTTTGAAAAAATAATTTGTTATTTTTTATAACATTTTTGATCAAAGTTTGCTTTAAAATGGTTACTTTTTTATTCCACAGTACAGATACCGAGAAACCATTTTATGACATCAATTTTGGAAACAGTCTGGCCATATTTCCAGACATTTCATTTTATGTATCATACTTCCCAAAATTAAATTTTAATATATCTACTTAAGATGCTTATTGACAGACTAGAATCTTGAAAAATGAGAGGGTATGATGCAAAAGATGTTCAGCTCTTGTTTGCGTAGCAAGTTGATGTGGAGATCTTAAAAATGTTTGAACCCCATTTCACATCTACTGTACTAGATTCCTGGGGCTGCTGTCACAAATAATGACATGTTGGGTAGCTTAAACCAATAGAAAATTATTTATTCTGATTTCTGGAGTCTGGAAATCCAAAATCAATATGTTTTGGGACCATGTTCCCTCTGAGTTTCTAGATACAATCCTGATCGCTTCGGTGGCTTCTGGTGGTGTCTGACAGCTGGTGACCTCATTTGAGTGACTGCAGCTGTCTGACTACAGTCTCTGCTTCCATCTTCATTTGACAGCTTCCCCTGTATCTGTGTTCATAGATAATTCTTTTAAGGATGCTTAGCCACGTTGAATTAAGAACTCATTCTTGGGCTCCCACAGTTAATGCCCTGCCTGTGGTGCCCACACGCATATGGGTGTTGATTCAAGTCCTGCCTGCTTCTCTTCCTATGCTAATCCGTGCTGATGGCCTGGAAAAGCTGTGGAGGATGGACTAGAGAGCATGGGGCCCCCCAAAATCCATGTGTAAGATCCAGAAGAAGTGCCTGGGTACCTGGCTTTGGACAGGCCCAACTCTGACCATGGCAGCCATTTGGGTAGTGAAACAGCAGATGGACGATCTCTCTGTCTCTCCATCTCTCCTTTCCTTCTCTCTATCTCTAATTCTGACTTTAAATAAAAAATGAATAAATCTATAAAAATATACCTCTTTTTTTTGTGTGACTTCATTTTAACTAATAACAACAGTAGAAACTCAACTTCAGATTAAATCCATATTCCCAGACAGCAAACCTTGCGATCTCAAGAACTCTATTTGGAGGGCAAAATTCAGCTATAATACGGTTAAACCAGAGAGTCAGAAGGAGATGCCATGCATGCACACATTGCAGATCATGTTAGATGATTCTGATGTATAGCAGGATTATGAGTCATCATGATTCTAATGTAGTGTTAATGACTAAAGACATAATATTACCTCTTCATCACTGGTAGTTGAAATTTTTGACTCCCTCTCCTTTTCCACATTAAGTAAACACTTGTTACATTAGAATAATTAGCTTTTTATAGTCTACTGAATTGTTTATTATGTACACTGCTACACGTTAAAAAAATCATTTATCGGTCCTGGCACGATAGTGTAGTGATTAAAGTCCTCGCCTTGAAGGTGCCAGCATCCCATATGGTCGCCAGTTCTAATCCTGGCGGCCCCACTTCCCATCCAGCTCCTTGCTTGTGGCCTGGGTAAGCAGTTGAAGATGGCTCAAAGCCTTGGGACCCTGCACCCACGTGGGAGACCAGGGAAGAGCTCCTGGCTTCTAGCTTCGGTTTGGCTCAGCTCCAGCTGCTGTGGTTGCTTGGGAGTGAACCATCTGATGGAAGATCTTCTTCTCTGTCTCTACTCCTCTCTGTATATCTGCCTTTGCAATAAAAAGAAATAAATCTTAAAAAAATCATTTATGTTTGCTTGAAAGTCAGATATATACATACATACAGATAGATAGATATCTGTACACACACACACACACATAGAGAGAGAACTCTTTCAACTACTAGTTCACTCCCCTCAATCACCACACTAACTGAGATGGGCCTATCTGAAGGCAGGGACTTTTACAGCTCTCCCATGTAAGTGCAGGTTTCTGGGTATCTGTGCTTTGTCAGCTATAAACAGGGATCTGGATTGCAAGAGAAGTAGCTTCTACTTAACCATTTAGGATGCTGGTGCTGGTGCTACCAGTGAAGAATTTGCTTTCTAAGCCACTGTGTCGGAACTTGCTGTTACAACTTTAAATGTATGTTCATTTCTGCAAAGATAGTTTATCCAAACCTTTGTCTGTTAATATCTGAGGATATAAATATCATCACTCAAAGAAGAGGATGTTAACAAATAGCCACCTTCCTCCTTCATTGTAAATCTTTTTATAACAGATCATTGCAGTCATTTATATAATGTATGTGAAAATAAGTTTGATGGAGGGAGGTGCAGAGTTCAGTCACAAGGGAGATTTCATGTAAAATATTGCTGGAAACACCATACAAGTTCCTTAATACACACATGACGTCTATTTCATGAACTCTTCTTTATTTTTAGTTTGAATATAGTTAAGAGTAGCAGAATTATTTGATCAGGATTATTTGGTTTAATGAAAATTTTTCCAATGATAAATAATAGCCCATATCCATGATGCCTTAAGATGTGACTGGTCAGGTATGTCCATAACATTTCTGTAGTGAAATAGCAATAAACAACTGCACTATTACTGTTACTTTGATTCATGTTATTGATTATTTGTGCACCAAGTAATTTTAGGCTCTTGCTGAAATTAGAGAACATATTTAAAGACTTCTTGAAAGTGATGCTTATCAAGAATTGTGTCCTGCTTGGTTCTCACAATATGTGGTCATGTGATGGGTTTTAACTGGACATATTTGGCTGCTCTCTTTAGGCTCACTTGTTCTTCAAAGAGATTGACATTGAGTATTTATGAAACCAGTAGAATAGGTAAACACTAGCAGTGACTATGTTTCACTGATTTCAGAAATAGTCTTTTTCAGTTTTGGTTTATTCAACAAAAACGATGTCACTCACCAATGTACTTGAATGCTAATGAAATAGTATCTTACTGTTCATATTCTTACTGTATTAATAAAAGCTAGCATTGTAAATGTAAAATCCAATGTCTTCCCTTCTTTTCTCTTCCCTCCCCTCTCACGGTGTGGTAGGAGCGTGTTCCCGACAGCCCTTCCCCTGCCCCGTCTTTGGAGGAGGGTCGAAGGCCTGGCAGTCACCCATCATCACATCGCAGCAGCAGCGTGTCCAGTTCCCCAGCACGTACTGAGAGCTCCTCCGACAGAATCCGTAGGTCTCATACTTTTACTTGTCACCATTTTATACTTTATTAGGCGCAGCTGGCTTTTCTAATCAAAATGCCCTTATTCCAAATAGATCTCAGATGTATCATGTTCTAAAGCTCTATAGCAATAGCCATCTCTCAAAATTACGATGCCCAGTTTGCAGTATCTTGAAGTATGATATTACATTAACAGGTTCTGATGTATACTCCCTCTCTTTGCTGCTGCACAAAAAATTAAAAAATGAGTAATGAAACCAGGATGGTAAAGAACATTCTAGGGTACTATCTGAAGAAAATAAAGATATTTCAAGAATCTGCTATCCAAGTGTATAAGATTTATGTATTATTAACTTTACTCCTTTGATCTCTCCATTGTCATTTTTAGAATTCATTAGTTTTTAAAATTCGTCATGGCATTCATGAATATATCCACAAAGTAAAATAAGTAAAATTCAAGACAAAATGTTTTTAGAATGATATTATTCAGTGATTCAGATAAAAAGTAAATTGAAGAACCTAAAATTAGCAGAATTTTAGGATTTGAGTCAGTTATCAATAAGTATTGCCTATTATTGTAATATATTTTTGTTGTTAAGTTTTTAAAGTGAAAATATACTTCATTCTCATGCTTAAGCAATATTTCATCTTCATCCTCATGGAAAGACAAGAATAAAGTTGCAATGTCTTTTAATTAACAATTGATTTTTTGCTCATATAAGAACCTACGATTGTCTTTTCAGTAAAATGTTCTAAAAAGTATCTTTGTTGATTACATTGACATACACTTTATTATTTTCAGGATTTAGTTATTGTTTTTTGAAATATGTAATATGAAGCTTAACATTACTTATCAAAATTTAGTAGAGTTGTGAATGCATTCAAGACAGAAAAATAGATCTAATTCTTTACAGACTAAAAAAAGTTCACATGAAGCAAAAATTCTTACTTATTTGGGAGCTATTGAAATGGATAATTTTAGATTGAGGATGATTTTATATTGACAAATATGTAATAAGATTATAAGGGAAATAATCAGTTACTGGTATTTATAACAGCTTTCTATAAAACTAAACATAAATATTAAATTGTTAAAAAAGATGTTTTCCTTAATTTATGAGATTATTGTAATTGCTTATTTGCAAAATGTATATATAACTTGATAACCATTCCCAAACCAAGGGTAATTCCAGGGGTGGCAAATCTATACTCCCATTATTTCAAAACACTTCCACAAAAATGTGTTTCATATTCTTTTTGCTATGCTGACACTGGAATAAAAAGTGATGATGAATATAGGTGTAATACACAATGCTTTTATCAGTTGTTATTGGATAGCCTCAATTATTTAAAAAAGAATTATTCCATTTCTGTATTCAGTGTGGAAGATTAAAAGAGAATGCGCAATTGGACGACTACAATGATAGACAGTGCACATGCACTCACACCCATTCTATACATGCGTGTATGGTTATATGTGCATACTTGTCATAATATATGATCTAACAAAAGGTTTTCAAACATAATACGCATAATTCATACATGTTTGTTACTCAATTTCACTCAATCAACCAATCATTCTCATTGAAGAAGATAGGTCTGCAAAGGCAAAAACTACTTACTGCCCTTATCACAGACAAATGCTATTCTCCCTCAAATACTTAATTGTTTATTGTCAACAAATGAGGAAATTCTTTAGCAAATATTTCATAATTATGAAACGTACACATGCATCAGGAAATTAACATTACAATAGTATAAGCTAAACATAACCCTTGTTCAAATTTCTCCAGATTTGTCATTTTTAAAATTATTTTCTTTTAGTATGAAAGGCAGAAACAGAGAGAGAGAACCTTTCCTTCTGCTGGTTTTCTCCCTAAATACTCACCCTAGGCATATGGTTGGCAGACACCCAGGTGCTACAGCCTTCACCTACTGACCCCCAGCGTGCACACTGGCAGGAAGCTGCAACTAAACCTGGAACCACGACTGAATGTCAGGCCTCCCAGTGTGTAATGATTGCACACCAAGTGACAGCCCCACTGCTTCACCAAATGCCATCAGCTCCACTGTTTTTAATATTAACACATTTTCTATCCTGATCCTGAAGAAAATTTGGGATCATACGTGACAATTAGTTGTGTCCACGGGTTTCCATGCTTTGTGGATTTATGGCAACTAAACTTATGGAAAATTGTATTTGCCCATCCAAGATTCTGGAATATTAGTTACTAGGCTTATACTATATTTATAAATTCTTACCATGTTTTCAAGGATAGTTAATATAAAGTTAGGACTCTGTGTTATGTTTAATTTTGGGCCCAAGAGTTTAACTTATTTGTTTGAACTTGTTTGACCTGTGTTTTTATCTGTTCTTATGTATATCACAGCTGTCCATCAGAATGGGTTGTCCATGAACCAGATGCTGATGGGTTTGTCACCAAATGTACTACCTGGGCCAAAAGAAGGAGATTTGGCTGGCCATGACATGGGACATGATTCTAAAAGGATGCATATTGAAAAAGGTAATATATTGTTAAATGATTCTATTTTTTTTCTGTTCAATGGATTAACTAACTTTTAACCACAAAATAAAGTATATTTCTATATTATGCAAAACATATCTGAAAGCCTACAGTGTAAAGATAAGCCTGGTCAGCAGAGAAGTTTGAGTGGATACTTGCTGCTTTCCTTTTAAGGAACAGGTAGGTGACAATTCAATTCCTTGCACATTTTTGAATGAAAGAGAAATTTTTGCCCTAAATGTTATTTTTCATTTGATCAGAGTTACTGCTACTGCATTGTCTTCAGGGTGGTTTTCATTTTACCTAGACTGAAAGGATGGCAACAAAATAGACAATATAATCTAAGTCTTTTTTGGATTAAAAGACATGTGATATTTGAATTACAAAAGTAATAGAAGTAAATTTTATCATTTACTGTATCAGTCATTGTTTCCAAAGTATATTGGACTAATAACAAGGCCCAGATTAGGCAGAACTACAAAATTACCTTCTTAGATTTGGTGATACTAGCCTACCCACATATATTCTTAACCCTCTTAATGAAATAATTTCATAGGTAAATTGAAATATCATTTTCGTGCCTCAACTAAAAATTTACACAAATAGGTAAAAATCCATTCTTTCAAATTATGGTTTTTGAATTATGAGGATAGGATCTCAAGCATATCAGCCCAGATCAATACATACTCATAGATTGCCCCATGTTTTTAAAGTAAATGTTGTGACAATGGAAATCTCTTTTTTACTGAAGTTATTACTTACAAGTTTTACAATATGGACTGAGAAAATTGTATCTGTGTATCCATCCATAGTCACTTTTATGAGCATAAGTAGTTTGAAAAGCATGTTTAAATGAAGGCCATGACTAATTGATAAAATGGAAAATAAAATTGGGTAATCAACTAATTAATCAAATAGAATAAAGTGTTTGAATAGAGGTTGTATTGGCAATAGCTTTTGTTCCATTATTGAACATTACTTTCAGAAAAGTAAAAATGATTACAGGAAATATTTTCCATTCAATAAGAATATAGCTCTTCAATATCCTACAGCCAAAAAGAGTATAGTATATCTACAACTGGTTTATCTTTACTTAGTAATGGCATGAATTCAGTTAGTTTTTCTGTTCATATATTTGCAATTAGTACTAGCACTTTGTATGGAATAATTAGGTGCTCTACTTTTATTTTCTTACATCCCTTCTCCAATAGTTTTATTATAGGGTTAACTTTCTCGTTTTAAAGTTTTTTCTTCAGTTGTGTGCCTCCATGGCCAGATTATAGATTCCATGGAATCATCCATTGTTGCCACATTTCCTTTAAAACCATCAGGCGATCTATGAGTCAATATTGAGCTGGATTTATATTCTGTATTAAGAGATGGAGAAGGAGGGGTAAAAAACTTGTGAAGGCAAAAGGTGAAACTATCTGACCTTTAGAATACACATTAATATGAAACCTGGTAAGGAGAGCTAGCCATGAATTACACAAAAACATTCTATGTGAGGGATGGTATCTTACCACATTAGGATTTTCTGTGTGGTTTTGTCATCAGAATGAAGGCCGAAACCACATCCTTACAGTTTACAAGCATTGTAACAAAAGTTTTTCTAAGAGAAAAAGAATTTTTATGTTATCCCTGGAGTCTAAAAGTACCATTGCCTTCCAATATGGTTGTGTAGTCATGAAGATTTTTGTACATTTTGATACCATTATGCTTTTTTATTATATGATCCTTCCTCTTCTGCATAAACTCTCTCTCTTTTGCCTACTTTTCAGCATAATGAATTAATAGTAAATATTTATAGGCTTTCTAGATGGATAGAGTTTACTAATTTTTTTCTTTGAGGGCTACATTATCATATGCCTGATAATAATTCTGTAACTTCTTTTTTACTCTGTATATCTGTGTCAAACAAATAACGATTTAGAAACATTTGTGGAGAAATTAATTTTGTGTCCATGTCATTTTAGCTTTGAGTTTCTTGTATGTAATTTGCTGCCTGTCAACTAAATCATTCAAAAAGTGATAATTTTTAAGAAAACATTGGTGCTCAAAATACATAGCAACATTCATTGGTGTGCTAAGAATCATTATCATTTGCAATCTTAATCATCAGGAGCTTTTAGACATTTTTTTATTCCATTAGAATTGAATAGCAGCTGCTTCTATTCTATTAGAAATTAAGTCACCATCAGCTGAAAAAAGAGGAGCTTGACTAGTGTGAGAGTTCAGAATAGAAACTGCTGAGCAAATTCACTCGTCAGAGAAAAACAACTGTCTAACACTGCTTTGTTCCCAGAGAGAGTTTAATTACAGAACATTCAAAACATAAATATTAAAAGTAGGCTAGTGTTTTAAGAAGTAATAGGCACATAATATTATTGTAGTCACCCCAAGCGCAAGGGCAGATGCTTTCATAACTGTAAACTTTCATTAAAACCAAGAGTTAGTCAAAATTTGTGCACTAAGTAAAATTGATACCGCATAGTTGAAAAAAATGTTTTGTTTCTTTTTGGTTTGTCAAAACTGCTTGGTTCTTTAGAGAATTTAGGGTTTTAAAGAACTCACTGATCTTTCCCTTCTGTCTAAATATAGTGAAACAGGCAGTGACAATGGGTAGTTGTACTGCATAAACAGACTCAGTGCTTCTTGCCGTTAGGACTGTCTGTCCCTGACCTATTTGTGTTGATGCTAATCCTTCATGTTCCTCACATATACATAATTTGGTTTTGTTTTTTTCAAAAGTGATTTTACTTGAAAGGCAGAGTCACAAGAAGAGAGGGGGACACCCAGGAGAGACCCCTTCTATCTGCCGGTTCACTCCCTAACTGGCCACAGTGACTGGGCTTGGTACAGGCTGGAGACAGGCCCCAGAAGGTCCATCAGGATCTCCCCAAGTGTGCTGTCATCTGCTGCTCTCTCATGTGCATTAGCAGGCAGTTGGATTGGTAGAGAAGCAGCAGGGACTCAAACCGACACCTATGTGGGATGCCAGTGTAGCAGCTATTGGCTTAACTCCCAAACACTGCAACAACATCCCCCCCCCTTTTTTTTTTACTTCCTCTTACTTACAACAAATAGTAGGGCACTCTTTTTATTTGGCCATTAATTTAATTTTTAAATTTCTGTTTTGTTGGGATTTTGTTTTATTTTTAAAATCAACAAAACTTAAATAATAGAGGTGAGTCTATGAGTTTTTTTTTCCAGTTATTGAAAACTTTAGTCTTTATAGTTGGAGCTAACTATTGAATGCCTAATTCATATTGATATATTTCAGATTTAGGTTTAGGATTGCAAAATATTTCTTGAAAACAGGTTGGAAGCCACGGTTGTGGTGTATCAGGTAAAGTCTTTGCATTCAATGCTAGCAATCCCATGTGAATACCAATTGAGTCATGGCTGCTCCACTTCTGATATCAGTTCCTGCTAATCCACTTGGAAAAGCAGCAGAGTATGGCCTCTGCACCCACATGGGAGACTTAGAAGAAGCTCCTGGTTCCTGGCTTCCAGTTGTGGCTATCTGGGGAGTAAACCAGAGTGCAGAAGACCTCTTTCTCTCTAAATAAAATAAATCTTGAAAAAAAAAATAAACCTAATTATGTGAAAACCTTTTTGTTTCTTTACTTTCTTTAACAGTATTGATTCAACTGCTAAGTATATAGGCTGATTTTTTTTGATGCTTAAGACCTTTTATTTTGTTAACTTTTTGGAATTTATTTATTCACTTGAAAGGTGGAGTGAATAAGAAAGAGACAGACATAGAGAAAGATACAGATACATAGAGATAGAAAAGATAGAAAGATAAATACATATTCCATCTGTTAGTTCATGCCTTGCCATAGTGGCTAGGGGCAGGGCAAAGCTGGGATGAAGCCAGGATCCCACAACTCCATGTGGACCTCTCATGTGAAAGGCAGGAATCTGAGCACCTGGACCATCATCATCTATCGCTTTCTTAGTTTGTTAGCTGGAAACTTGTTAGGGAAGCAGAGCTGCCCAAAACTCAAAGCACCTTTTCCATATAGGATGCAGGAAATCAAAGTGACTACCTAAAATTTTGCATGCAGCTTTCTCCCTGTTTGCAACCCTGTGAAATGAAAACATAGCACTTAATATCAGTGTTTTCACTCCATGATTCTTCTCAGTAAACATTATCAATTTCTCTGAACCTCAGGGCTCTCTCCTAACTGCAGATTTCTTAGGTTCATAGGCAGGATGGAACTTTCTTAAGTTTCATTGTGCATTTTCATTTCTACAAGCAGTATTTCTAGGGATATTTCATTGCTATCTTGAGAAGCTTACTATAAGATTCCATAAAAGCCTTGTAATGATGAACTTCTGTTAGAAAATATGGCCTTTGGTGTTTTAATTTTTAATGAATGTACATTGCTGATTAGCCCTTCACTCTGAAATGTCAAGTTTATTAAATGCCCTCTGTCCTTCCCAATGATTGTTCTTTTCCCTCCTTACAAATTCATAAATATCCAATTGTTCACCCTAAACTTCTCCATCAGATGAGAAAACTTACATTTGCATGTCTTCTTTCTTTATCTAACACAGGGCAAAGAATTAGTAGATACAATAAATAAGTCTTTTCAAATTTAAATATCTGGAGTACTGACCCATATAAATATTCAATGGAAACCATCAGTACTATCAAATTAGCTAATGAGCGTGCAGCTTGATTACATAGATTGCAAAATATACATGTTGCACACCGCTGAGTTAGAATATTATCTGCTTATAATTCATAATATCATAGTTGTCATGATTTATGCTTTGTTCCAAATGATAAACTTGAAGCCTTAATATTATAATTAGGAGTGTTTTTATTACTTATGACAGGATTATAATATTCATAGTGTTGTAAGCTAAAGAAATCACTGAAATGACTATGTTAGTTATTTGTTCATGATTATGTGAGAGTAATTTCTTGGGTACATTTCAGATTCTTAAAAGTAGCCCTTATTTACTCAACACAAATTTGTTTAACAAAG